AGGCCAGCAGCCCCTAGTAGCGTCCTTGTTCCTAGTAGTAAGGCCAGGAGCCCCTAGTAATTCCTGCTCCTAGTAGTATGGCCATAGTAGCTTCTTGCTCCTAGAAGTATGGCCAGGGGCCCCTAGTAGCTTCTTGTTCCTAGTAGTATGGCCAGGAGCCCCTAGTAGCCCCTAGTAGCTTCTTGCTCCTAGTAGTAAGGCCAGGAGTGAGAAATGTTCTTCTTAAAAACGCAGAGCTTCACATTTCCTCAATGAAACGTAGTCGTTCACATGAAACATATTTCCACCTTTTGTTGCAATTTTCCTGCAAGGGAAAACATGAATTAATGTCAATTGAAGGATGAAGACTTGGAACAGCTCCGAAACACCTTCCTTGTCCTCGACAAGAACAAGGTGCGTGCGTGAGCGCTGTTCCGTTTTTTTTGAAAAGGCATGATTTCCACATGCGTTCCAGTGCGCCAGTTTGCAAACTAATCTTGACACCGCATGCCTTACCATTGTTCGCAAAGGGCGTTTCTCATTTTTCGTGTTTGGGCCGCATGCCTTCCAGATGCATTGCTGGAAAAAAAATATGCAGTTAAACCCCCTGGGTCGGGCTCTCCGACGACGCCCCCGCGGACCTGACCTTCTACATGACTTCTTGACCACGGTAACCTTACCCAACATATAGAAATCAACTGCTAAAGTACTCATCATGCTGCCAGTCCGACAGCTTCCTCCCTCGTCCTGTCTTCTGAAACTTTGACATCCAGAGCGGCTTCGAAAACCCTCGCCATTCAAGTGCTGCGGTCCTTCTTGGGAAATTGCGGTCCACTGTCAGCCGTTTGCTGAAGTTTTTCCCTCCACCAGAAGTTCCTTGTCACGTTAATTGAGTGGCGCCCTGATTTGCAGTCGTTCGGCAGGCCTTTTCGCTGACGGGCACACCCTGCGCTCCCACCCTTTTGGCTACTTCTGTGTGGGTGAAAGCGCACTTTGCGTCAAGTGGGGATAAGCCCTTGGCCTCCCATCTTTGGAAGGACTCGAAAAAATTGTTTCACAAAAGGTTGGCAAGAAGACGGGAGCAGCACGCCGTCCGAATTCCAGGCGAGCCAAGCATGGCAGTGTCAGCGCGGCCAGACGCAAGCCAACAAGCACTATTGGTACGTCCATTCACGTCGCCGTGAACAACGACTCCATGGAAAGACGTCAATGACCAGAGTCAAGTCTGGGGAGTCAGCATGCAAGAGCAGGACAGCAAGAACGAGCAGGTTGCCCAACCATGACAAATGGGCCAGACAAATGGGCGCCACAAATGCAGTTGTCGAATCGGCAAGTTCAAGCAAGAGAGACTGCAGCCAAGAAAATCGGGAATGATGTCAAACGAGCCTCCGCACAGACGCCGAAGGCAAAGTTGGATTCGAGCAACGTCAGGCCTGCTTCGCCCGAACGTGGCGGATATGGGGAGAGCTCGGAATTGCACAAGGCGTTGCGATCCGACCCACCCAAGGCCTTCGTGGTCTAGGCTGGAGCACCTCAGCTGCTTCCAGATCTCCTTACGCCGCGCGTTTCACGCGGACGCACTAGTAGTAACAAGAAGCTATTAGAAGCAAGTGCATCGCTACTAGTAACAAGTGCCTTACTAGTAGTAACAAGAAGCTATTAGAAGCAAGTGCATCGCTACTAGTAACAAGTGCCTTA